AGTCTGGCACCACGCAGTGGACGGCCGCCTACGAAATCGAGAAAGCCAGTGGAACTGCGACGTCTAGATACTAACGCACTGGGTGCAAGGATTCACGAGGTGACAGAATTTGAACTGCTGGCTGCAAATTTTTTCCAACTGTCTGGATTTATTCCTGGCGTGACGACATCAAACAGCGATGAAAATGGGTATGCAACCTCGACCACAGCTTAAGCTGAACCCGAAGGTGTGTTGTGTACGAAGGTCTGAGGAAGCAGCAATACCGTAGAAAATATTACAATCAATCTCATCCTCACCTACAGTTTCATTTACCTCACTGTTATGTCCAGTGAATCCAGAATAAGGACAGTCCAATTTCCTAAGTAATGGAGCCATGCATAGTTGAGGCGTACCACAATTAGGAGACTGTCTTTACGTTTAGAAAAGTCACTGTCTTTAATTGTATCGCATCAACTCCTTTCATGATTGTCTACCGGGTTTGAAATGGTAAGAACACGAAGCACTGCTTTAGTTGCGTCTCCAGTTAAGTTCAATTACTATTCCCAAGGGGGTCTGATGATCTGTGCACGTTCGAATTATGTCATTTTTCCTCAAGTTCCCAGTACTGGATGTTTTCTATAACAAAGATTTCATTTTAAGCCGATTTCGCCACGAAGTGTGTATTCATTTGCGACACGTGGCTAAATAATGCTTCTGGTACTTCTCTCCGCGTTCGAAATTACCAGCGTAAATTTGGCAGGATACAGATGAAGCGCAGTGAACGAGATCCTAAAATGGGCGGCAGAAGTACCTTGGACACCGCAATTTGTTTTTTTTGTCTAACGCTGTGTGAAATAATTTTCCTGGTGAAAATAAAGTTGGCCTACCAACTTAGTCTACGTTGACGGCGAGATCAGTGATCTACTACGAATGTTTGATATCCTATGGTTAGGGTCTCTGTGAGAGGGGAACCGGGGAATAGGCTATCCTTCCCGGGCGTCGTTTTACGTTCACAGGGATGTAGGTTAATAAAGCTCCCTGTCTGCGAAAATAATAAAGGAAAAGTCAAGTATCTACATCTCATGAATTTTTTGTCAATATACCGGGCGTAAAACCCTGTCC